TGAACCTGGGAGGCGGAGGTTGCAGCAAGCCAAGATCACGCCACTACACTGTAGCCTGGTGATAGCGTGAGACTCCATCTCAAAAAAAAAAAAGTTTTTTTCATATAAGATGTGAGATTGGGATGGGGAGAGTCTCCCTATATTGCCCAGGCTGGTCTCGAACTCCTGGGCTCAAGTGATGCCCAGAATGATGATTTTATATGCATTTTACTTATTTAATTCCTATTTCCCCTTCTGGAAGGTAAACTTCATGAGAATAGGAATGTTTCTCTTTTTTTTTTTTTTTTTTTGAGACGGAGTCTTGCTCTGTCACCCAGGCTGGAGTGCAGTGGCCGGATCTCAGCTCACTGCAAGCTCCTCCTCTCGGGTTCACGCCATTCTCCTGCCTCAGCCTCCCGAGTAGCTGGGACTACAGGCACCCGCCACTTCACCTGGCTAGTTTTGTTTTTTGTATTTTTTAGTAGAGACGGGGTTTCACCGTATTAGCCAGGATGGTCTTGATCTCCTGACCTCATGATCCGCCCGTCTCGGCCTCCCAAAGTGCTGGGATTACAGGCTTGAGCCACTGCGCCCGGCCGAATGTTTCTCTTTTTATTCATTGTTTTTTGTTTTCTGTTTTTGAAGCAAGGTGTTGCTCTATCACCCAGGGTAGAGTGCAATGGCATGATCTTGGCACACTGCAACCTCTGACTCCTGGGTGCAAGCAATTTTCCTGCCTCAGCCTCCTGAGTAGCTGGGATTATAGGTGTGCGCCACCACACTCAACTAATTTTTGTATGTTTTAGTAGAGATGCAATTTCACCATGTTGGTCAGGCTGGTCTCTAACTCCTGACTTCAGGTGATCCACCTGCCTCGGCCTCCCAAAATGCTGGGATTACACTGATGAGCCACTATGCCTGGCCTTGGCTTCCTTTTTGTAAGAAGTTTAAGGAAATGTGGTCTTAGAGATCAAATTCTTCCGCTAGAGCAGGGGTCTGCAAACCTATGGACTCTGTCCAAATTTGGCCCACCTGCTGCCCACAAATTAAGAATGATTTTCACATTTTAAATGACTGGAGGAAAAAATCTTTTTTTTTTTTTTTTTTTTTTGAGATGGAGTCTTGCTCTGTTGCCCAGGCTGGAGTGCAGTGGCGCCATCTCGGCTCACTGCAAGCTCCACCTCCCGGGTTCACACCATTCACCTGAAGTCAGGAGTTCAAGACCAGCCTGGACAACATGTTGAAACCCCGTCTCAATTATAAATACAAAAAAATTAGCTGGGTGTGGTGGCAGGCATCTGTAACCCCAGCTACTCAGGAGACTGAGGCAGGAGAATTGCTTGAACTCAGGAGGCAGAGGTTGCAGTGAGCCGAGATCGCACCGTTGTCCTCCAGCCTGGGTGACAAGAACAAAACTCCATCTCAAAAAAGAAAAGAAGAAAAAGAAAACTTAGCCAGATGTGGTGGCACACAGCTGTAATCCCAGCTACTCAGGAGGCTGAGGCAGGAGCATCGCTTGAACCCGAGAGGTAGAGGTTGCAGTGAGCCGAGACTGTGCCACCGCACTCCAGCCTGGGTGACAGAGCAAGACTCCATCTCAAAAAAATAAAAATAAAAAATAAATTGTGGACTCTGCTCTAGGGTCTACATGAATGAGAAGTTTTAGCAACAAGTAGGATACATCAATCATATCTTCATTGGAATTGATTACTCAAACATTTTCAGCTCATGAACAAAATAGCCCTTCTACCTCCTGGGTTACAGTGGTTTTAGCCCAAACTCCCTTTTCCTTCTGTTATTTCCCGGGTGTTTACCCCTCATCCTCCTTCCCATCCCCTTAATCCTTGTTAATTTATCACCCTGTTTGAAAAGGTCTCTATTGGGATAGGAGTAGAGGGGGGTCCCTGAAGTAGCATTGTCATCTGAAATCCAGTAGGGATGTCCAACCTTCCCAAAGGTTGGTTTAGGTGAGAATCAAAGATGAAAGCCCACCAATAGTTAGTTGAAATCCAGTTGAAAAATCAGATCTTAAAGGCCGGGCGCGGTGGCTCACGCCTGTAATCCCAGCACTTTGGGAAGCCAAGGCAGGTGGATCACGAGATCAGGTGTTCCAAACCAGCCTAACCAACATGGTGAAACCCTGTCTCTAATAAAAATACAAAAATTAGCTGGGCATGGTGGTGGCAGCCTGTAATTCCAGCTACTTGGGAGACTGAGGTAGGAGAATCGCTTGAGCCCAGGAGGCAGAGGTTGCAGGGAACCGAAATCACACCACTGCATTCCAGCCTGGGGGACAAAGCGAGACTCCATTTCAAAAAAAGAAAAATCAGATCTTGCCAGGCGTGGTGGCTAATGCCTGTAATCCTAGCACTTTGGGAGGTTAAAACGGGCAGATCACCTGAGGTCAGGAGTTTGAGACCAGCCTCAGCAACATGGCAAAACCCTGTCTCTACTAAAAATACAAAAATTAGCCTGGCGTGGTGTCGGGCACCTGTAATCCCAGCTACTCAGGAAGCTGAGGTGGGAGAATGGATTGAACCGGGGAGGCGGAGGTTGCAGTGAGCTGAGATGGCGCCATTGCACTCCAGTCCAGGTAACAGAGTGAGACTCATCTCAAAAAAAAAAAAAAAAAAAATTGGAGAAAAAAGCCCCTGACCCTAGTCATGCCTCTTCAGAAGGCAAAGGAGCCAGACAGGAGCTCCTGCCTGGACCACAGAGTTGGCCAGGTATGGTGGTAATCCCAGCACTTTGGGAGACTGAGGCAGGAGGATTGCTTTGGGCCAGGAGTTCAAGACCAGCCTGGGCAACATAGCGAGACTCCATCTCTATAGAACATTTCAAAAGTAGCCGGACGTAGCGGCATGTGCCTGTAGACCTAGCTACTTGGGAGGCTGGGGTAGGTGGATCGTTTGAGCCCAGCAGTTCAAGGCTGCAGTGAGCCATGATTGCATCACTACACTTCAGCCTGGGTGAAAGAATGAGAGCTTATCTCTAAAAAATTTTTTTTTAAAATTTTTTAAGGTGCCCAGAGCTTTGACAGTGTCTCTAAAGTTAAGGTGGTGGAGTGGGAACCAGAAAATGGATCAAAGTGTCTCAAAATGAGCCCAATTACCCCTTTGGCTTAATTTGGCAACCCTGTTATACCTAAAGTAGGAACTGCAGCTACAGAGGATGTTCTTATGGGCACTGAACTCAAAGCCATTGACCTTGATGACCACGTCGCAGAGCTTGCCCTCTAGTCTAAGCTCGTTGAAGATCTCACAGGCCATCGCACTCATCTTCCTCTCCATGTGAGGCTGGTGGAAACGTGTGGAGGCCGCCGCGCTCTCCATCTCCATGGCACCCTGGGACAGCGGAGAGAGGCTGCTCTCCTAGGGTGTCGGGGATGGTTGTGGGGGGCCCCTTTAGCCAGCTGTCGCTTCTTTTCCCTACTACATCTTTCGTATAGGGTCTATCAGGCAACTCAAGTTCCAGAATCCTGGCCCTGCAGTGAGATCACGCAGGATTGTGCTCTCAGGTTCTGGAACTGCCTCCTGGACTTGTCCGCTTCCTTCTCCTCTCCCCTACCACCCTACTTAGGCTGAAAACCACCTCATGCCTCTTTCTGTGTCCTCGAACTCAGAACAGAACCGTGACCACTGACTGTTTATTGATTCCAGCTCCTGTTACTCACCTGATACAGGTCTCTATCCCTGGAGCATCCATCTACCTTCCACAGCCCAACACTTGGCTCCCTAGACACCGAACTCAAGGAAATCCAAGTCAGTTGAGGCGGAAGGGAGAAGTAAAGCTGATTAAATTTCTTTCTTAGGCCAGGTGCAGTGGCTCATGCCTGTAATCCCAGCATGAGGTGGGCAGATCACGAGGTCAAGAGATGGAGGCCATCCTGGCCAACATGGTGAAACCTCGTCTCTACTAAAAATAGAAAAATTAGCTGGGCCTGGCGGCACATGCCTGTGGTCCCAGCTACTCGGGAGGCTGAGGCAGGAGAATCGCTTAAAACCAGGAGGTGGAGGTTGCAGTGAGCTGAGATTGTGCCACTGCACTCCAGCCTGATGACAGAGACTCCATCTCAAAAAAAAAAAAAAGAAAAAAATTAATTAATTAAATTCTTTCTTTTTTTAGAGACAGGTCTTGCTCTCTCGCCCAGGCTGGAGTGCAGTGGTGTGATCATAGCTCACTACAGCCTCCACCTCCTGGGCTCAAGTGATCCTCCCACTTGAGGATCCTCCCACTTGAGGCTTGATCCTCCTGGCCCAGCCTCCTGAGTAGCTGGGATTACAGGTGCTCAGCACCGTGCCCAGCCAACGCTGATTACATTTCAGAAAGCTGTCCCGGGTCTCCCAGTCCCCTGGATGGGTTAGTCACTCAGTTTCTTCTGGAATGAGGAATGGCCTAGTTAACAGAGCACCTGCTGGGTGATTAACAGAATTCAGTTTATGGCTCCTTCATCTCTCCTCCCATCCAGCCGTGTGGTTTTTCTGTTTTTGTTTCTGAGACAGGGTGTCATCTGCCGCCCAGGCTGGAGTGCAGTGATGCGATCTCGGCTCACTGGAGCCTGGACCTCCCGGGCTCAAGTGATCCTCCTGCCTCAGCCTCCCGAGTAGCTGGGACTACAGGTGCGCATCATCACGCCCGGCTAATTTTTGTATTTTTTGTAGAGACGGGGTTTCGTCATGTTGCCCAGGCTGGTCTCGAACTATTCGGCTCAAGCGATCCTCCTGCCTCGGCCTCCCAAAGTCCTGGGATTACAGGCGCGAGCCACCGCGCCCAGCCCCAGCCATGTTTTTGTCACACAAACTTTCAGCCTGGAAATGACCACGCTTGGCAAGGCTTTTCCTCCACAAAGAGTGGCAGAACCCTACCTACCCACGTAACCCCAACACCCTGGGACCTTCACCCTGCTCTTCACAATAAATAGCACCCTCCTCCAATTTGCCTAGCGCACCGGGAAAGTCCACCCGGATCGTGGCCATCTCCGGGACCACACGATTCTCGGCCCCGCCCCCGGCCCCGCCCCCGGCCCCGCCGGCCTCCAGGCGGGAGGCGACGCCTGCGCAGTGCGGTCGCGGGGCTGTCGTTGTCCACCGCGCCACCGACCGGGCCTCGAACGGGATGGCGGAGGAGGTGAGGAGGGAGGAAGCGTCCGGAGTGGGGCGGGCCCGGACTCCGACCCCCGGGGCGCTCCGAGCCCCCCAGCGGGTCACCGAGGCACCACCGATCCACCCAGGCCAGTAGCCGCCCCATTGCGCACCCCGGCCCAGCTTCACACGCGCGCCCGAGCGAGCCCCGGGCTCCCCTCGGACCCAGCGCGGCGCGGGGGTCAGTGGTTCTCTCGGGTCTCGGGACAGGTGAGCACCCTGATGAAGGCCACGGTCCTGATGCGGCAGCCTGGGCGGGTGCAGGAGATCGTGGGCGTCCTCCGCAAGGGCGGCGGAGAGAGGTTACAGGTACCTCGGAGGCGGGCGGGGGCCGGCAGGGCTGGGGGCGGCTGGGGAGGCTTCCAGCCCATTGGGTCTTCCCGCTTTGCTCTGCTGCGGACCCCTGCTAGCTCCCCACCCTAAGAAATGGCCGGGAACTTGAAGGAGAGCAGGTTGGTTCCCCTGTCCTGAATCCCAGATTTCAGATTTCTCAATATGGTCATGCTGCTTCCTCTAATTGGACAGAAGGCGCCCCACACCAGTACCTGGGGCCTTATCCTCCCCAAGCCAGCGGCTCTCCAGTAAGTTGAAGATATCCAGATGGGCCGTAATGGTAGAGATCTCTTAGGAAGGACCTGAAATTGAAGGAGTCAGAGGGGTCCTGAGTATTTCACCCTCGCCCCTACAGTAGGAGACTGCGTTTTCCTCAGGGTTAACGGGTACTAATTAAGATCACTTCCCCTCTAAACCTCTGTGTCACTCAGTAACTCCTCCACCGCTTTGCCTACCATCCTCACCAGTGAGCTGTTTTGATTTCCATAATCATCCTCTGGCTGAGGCAGGGCCACGTTAGAAGGTGCCTATTTAGGCATCATCTCTCTTTTGCCTTACAGGTGATTTCTGATTTTGACATGACCTTGAGCAGGTTTGCATATAATGGAAAGCGATGTCCTTCTTCTTACAGTAAGTCACATTCTAGCTTGCCTTGTTGGGCTTGACAAGATGATGGGTTCTAAGGGACAAGTAAAAGGAGTTTTCTCTTTTTCCAGATATTCTGGATAATAGCAAGATCATCAGTGAGGAGTGTCGGAAAGAGGTGGGTTGCTCCCGTCCTTTGCTCAGAAATGGTTGTCATATGCTACTTCAAATGGTTCCTGATTGGAACCAAAGGTTCCTGTATAGAGACCTTAGAAAATTAATTTTAAAAAAATTGTTGTTTTGCTAAGGAGGATCTAGTTTTAATACATTAAGACAGCTTTTCCTTACTGGCCAGGACATATGATGATTAATGGTTGGAACTGGACATTATACTTAGAGTTGGCTATAGAGTTTACAAGAGATTTGAACGTTATGGAGGTTCAGCAACTTACCCAGGGTCATACAGCCAAATAGCAGAGCTTGTTTGTTTGTTTGTTTTGAGACAGAGTCTCACTCTATCACCCAGGCTGGAGTGCAGTGGCTTGATCATTACTCAGGCTCGAGCGATCCTCCTGCCTTAGCCTACCGAGTAGCTGGAACTACAGGCATGTGCCGTTACACCTAGCTAATTTAAAAAATTTTTTGTAGAGATGGGGTCTCACTATGTTGCCTAGGTTGGTCTTGAACTCCTGAACTCAAGCAATCCTCCTGCCTCAGCCTCCCCAAAGTGTTGGGCTTATAGGCATGAGCTACCGCACCTGGCCTTTTTAAAAGAAAATTTATATTCTTCTGTTGGGTTCTAGTGTGTGTCTCTGTGTGTGTGTACACATGTATGTGTGTGTGTGTGTGTATGTATGTGTGTGTGTGTGTGTGTATATATATATATATATATTTTTTTTTTTTTTTTTTTGAGACAGAGTCTTGCTCTATCACCCAGGCTGGAGTGGCATAATCTCAGCTCACTGCAACCTGGGTTCAAGCAATTCTCATGCTTCAGCCTCTCGAGTAGTAGCTGGGATTAGGGGCATGCACCACCATGCCCGGCTAATTTTTATATTTTTAGTAGAGATGGGGTTTCGCCATGTTGGCCAGACTGGTCTCAAACTCCTGGCCTCAAGGGGTCTGCCCACCTTGACCTCCCAAAATGCTAGGATTACAGGCCTGGGCCATCACGTCCAGCCAAGTTCTAGTATATTTTTATTTTTATTTTTATTTATTTATTTATTTATTTTTGAGATGGAGTTTCGCGCTTATTGCCTAGGCTGGAGTGCAATGGTGCAGTCTCAGCTCACTGCAATCCTCCTCCCGGGTTCAAGCAATTCTCCTGCCTCAGCCTCCCGAGTAGCTGGGATTACCGGCATGCACCACCGTGCCCAGCTAATTTTTGTAGTTTTAGTAGAGACGGGGTTTCACCATGTTGGCCAGTCGGGTCTCGAACTCCCGACCTCAGGTGATCCGCCCGCCCGCCTTGGCCTCCCAAAGTGCTGGGATTACAGGCGTGAGCTATCTTGCCCGGCCTAATTTTTAGAAAAATGTTCTCACTCCAAAAAAACACATACATTGAGAATCTTAATACATTTCAGGAGTTTTCTGCCTTTGTTACTATGTCAGCTTTGCATTTAATCTTCTTTTGGACAGATGGACAGGGATTCCATTTGATCTTGTAATGTTCCTGAGAATCACTCATGTATTAAAATTCTTTACTTGGTCAATTCTCATTTTTACTGGGCATTGTTATTGACTGGCTCTGTGTGACACATGATCCCTGGAACAGCTCCTTTAGAGTGTTAAAGTCTTGGCACATAGAAGGAAACCTTAGAGGAAACACATGTAGATGCTGTGCATTCACATGATATTGACACTTTGACGGAATTGTCCACCAACATGCTGTGTCCCAAAGTACAGTCTTCTAGTTAAATTTAATTTTTTTTTTTTTGGCCATATCTGTGTATCACCTTTACTAGATCTTTCTCTAAATTGGCCTGCTTTTTTTTTTGTTTTGTTTTGTTTTGTTTTTTGAGACGGAGTCTCGCTCTGTCGCCCAGGCTGGAGTGCAGTGGCGTGATCTCGGCTCACTGCAAGCTCCGCCTCCTGGGTTTACGCCATTCTCCTGCCTCAGCCTCCTGAGTAGCTGGGACTACAGGCGCCCGCCACCGCGCCCGGCTAATTTTTTGTATTTTTAGTAAAGACGGGGTTTCACCGTGGTCTTGATCTCCTGACCTTGTGATCCGCCCGCCTCAGCCTCCCAAAGTGCTGGGATTACAGGCGTGAGCCACCGCGCCCGGCCTGGCCTGCTTTTAAAAATTGTAATTAACTTATAAAGAAACAGGCTGGGTGTGGTGGTTCACGCCTGTAATCCCAGCATTTCTGGGAGGCCGAGGACGGCAGCTTGGTTGAGGTCAGGAGATCGAGACTAGCCTGGACAACATGGCGAAACCCTGTCTCTATGAAAAATACAAAAAATTCCATCCTGGCTAACATGGTGAAACCCCGTCTCTACTAAAAAAATACAAAAAACTAGCCGGGCGCGGTGGCGGGCGCCTGTAGTCCCGGATACTCGGGAGGCTGAGGCAGGAGAATGGCGTGAACCCGGGAGGCGGAGCTTGCAGTGAGCCGAGATCCGGCCACTGCACTCCAGCCTGGGAGACAGAGCGAGACTCCGTCTCAAAAAAAAAAAAGAAAAATACAAAAAATTAGCTGGGAGTAGTGGTGCATGCCTATAATCCCAGCTACTTGGAAGGCTGAGGCAGGAGAATAGCTTGAACCTGCGAGGCAGAAATTGCAGGGAGATCGCGCTCCAGCCTAGGCAACAGACAGAACCAGATTCTGTCTCAAAAAAAAAAAAAAGAGCCTGGAGCGGTGGCTCACTTCTGTAATCCCAGCACTCTGGGAGGCTGAGGCAAGTGGATCATGGGGTCAGGAGTTTGAGACCAGACTGGCCAACCTGGTGAAACCTCGTCCCTACTAAAAATACAAAAATTGGCCGGGCGCGGTGGCTCAAGCCTGTAATCCCAGCACTTTGGGAGGCCGAGACGGGCGGATCACGAGGTCAGGAGATCGAGACCATCCTGGCTGACACGGTGAAACCCCGTCTCTACTAAAAAAAAAAAAAATACAAAAAACTAGCCGGGCGAGGTGGCGGGCGCCTGTAGTCCCAGCTACTTGGGAGGCTGAGGCAGGAGAATGGCGTGAACCCGGAAGGCGGAGCTTGCAGTGAGCTGAGATCCGGCCACTGCACTCCAGCCTGGGTGGCAGAGCGAGACTCCGTCTAAAAAAAAAAAATAATAATAATAATAATAATAATACAAAAATTAGCTGGGCACGGAGGCACATGCCTGTAGTCCCAGCTACTCGGGAGGCTGAGGCAGAAGAATTGCTTGAACCCGGGAGGCGGAGGTTGCATGAGCCGAGATTTCGCCCCTGCACTCCAGCCTGGGTGACAGAGTGAGACTTTGTCTCAAAAAAAAAAAAAATTCTACATGAAAATGAATCCAAAACTACTGAGTTGAAAAGCGCTTCTCCATGAATTCCCTCAAGTTATCTTACCTATCACCTGAGAAAGTGGACCATATTCTGCAAAACACAGCATTAAGTAAGTTCTTACTGGTTAAGCCCTGACGATTCAGCTAATTAATACCAGCAAAAAAAATCTTAGTACCCTTCTCTGATAGTAAAATCTCATAGTGCTGACTTTTAGACCTCACTCTCAGGGTGAGTGCAAAGGAATGACCAGCTCTGTGGGTCCAGGTGCTCCCTGGACTTCACCAAATAGATAAAAATGTGAGTGTATTGAGCAATTATGTTGGAAGATAAGAAGAGAAGAGAAACTTAGGTCTTATAAACGACACGTCCCCAAAGGAAAACTTGAAGAAAATTTCATGTAACACTCTCTTAAATGAAGTTGCATCTTCTTTTTTTTTGAGACATGGTTTTACTCTGTGGCCCAGGCTGGAGTGCAGAGGTATGATATCGTCTTGGCTCACTGCAGCCTCCGCCTCTTGGGTTCGAACCATTCTCATTCTTCAGCCTCTTGAGTAGCTGGGATTAAAGGCACGTGCCACTACACCCGCTAATTTTTGTATTTTTTTAGTAGAGACAGGGTTTCACCATGTTGGCCAGGCTGGACTCAAACTCCTGACCTCAAGTGATCCACCTACCTTGGCCTCCTAAAGCACTGGGATTGCAGATGTGAGCCACCGCCTCTGGCCATGAAGTTGCCTCTTCTAGGTGACTTTTTTCTCATACTAAGCTGTAGGACTTTGCAGGGAAGAACTTGATATAGACTAATGGCCTTTCTCCCCATTTGGATATCCCAGCTCACAGCGCTCCTTCACCACTATTACCCAATTGAGATCGACCCACACCGGACCATCAAGGAGAAGCTACCTCATATGGTGGAATGGTGAGTGATGGTGGTGGAGAAAAGCTTCTGGGCCCTTGAGATGGAGTAGGCTGGGAGGGGCGTAGTTTTCCAGACCTTTGATGAGATGACAGACTCCCTTACTTTACTGAGGGCTTAATTTAATGCTATTAGTCCAGCTGTTGGAACAAACTTTTCAGATGAACCCGGGGCTTTTTGTGGCTGCTGCTGGAGTGGAGACCCTCAGAAAATCCTTGGAATAAGTTAAAGACTGTTGGTGTCGGGGAATAAGTGCTTTGCGGAAGTGACTCTTAGTCTGTTTTGTGCTGCTGTCACGGAATAACAGACTAGGTAATTTATATATTTTTTCTATTTTTTGAGACAGGGTCTTGCTCTGTTGCCCAGGCTGGAGTCCAGTGGCATGATCGTGGCTCCCTGTAGCTTCGACCACCTGGGCTGAAGCGATTCTCCCACTTCAGCTTGTGCCACCGTGCCTGGCTCATTTTTTCTATTTTTAGTAGAGATGGGGTCTCACCATGTTACCCAGGCTATTTTAAACTCCTAAGCTCAAGTGATCCTCCCACTTGGGCTTCCCAAAATCCTGGGGTTACAGGCGTGAGCCACTGCACCCAGCCTAGACTGGGTAATGTATAATGAATAGCAATTTATTGGCACACAGTTCTGAAAGCAGAGAAGTCCAATATCGAAGGACTGGCTGGCATTTGGTGAGGGCCTTCTTCTTGCTGCATTATCTCATTGTGGAAGGGCAAAGAGGGTGGGGGAGAGAGAAAGAGAAAAAGAGGAGTTCTTTTTATAAGGAATCTGTGATAATGACATTAATCCATTCATGAGGACGGTGCCCCCATGACACCTCTCATTAGGCCCCATCTCTCAACACCTCCACATTGGGGATCAAGTTTCCAACACATTCAAACCACAGCAACCCTCATCACTGGAGAGAGCCCCAGTTCTCCAGATAGAGTGGTCGCGGAGGAAGGGACTCAGAAGAGCGCCAGCTCCAGCAGCCAGCTTGCCCAGCACTTGTCTCTGTTGGGTTGCTTTCTCATCCTCTTCCCTTCTTTTTTTTTTTTTTTTTTTTTTTTTTTTTTTTTTTTTTTTTTTTTTTCTCATCCTCTTCCTTTTTTTTTTTTTTTTTTTTTTTTTTTTTTTTTTTTTTTTTTTTTCTTCCTTCTTTTTTTTTGAGATGGAGTCTCACTCTGTCACCCAGGCTGGAGTGCAGTGGCCCAGTCTTGACTCACTGCAACTTCCCCCTCCTGGGTTCAAGTGATTCTCCAGCCTCAGCCTCCCAAGTACCTGGGACTACGGGCACCCGCCACCACATCCAGCTAATTTTTGTATTTTTAGCAGAGATGGGGTTTCGCCATGTTGGCCAGGCTGGTCTCGATCTCCTGATCTCAGGTGATCCACCCGCCTTGACCTCCCAAAGTGCTGGGATTACAGGCATGAGCCACCGTGCCTGGCCACCGTCTTCCTTTTAAAGGCAGCTAATGTAAGGATGAGGCCTCTGTCGGCAATGCTGTCAGAGGGCACTTGGCTCTGTAAAGGGAAAGGAGGAATTATTTACTTGAGTGATTTGAATTTGGGGTTTTCTGGGGTGTCTGTTTCTAGGTGGACCAAAGCGCACAACCTCCTGTGTCAGCAGAAGATTCAGAAGTTTCAGATAGCCCAGGTGGTTAGAGAGTCCAGTGCAATGCTCAGGTGAGCGTCTTGCTCTGGAAAACATTTCTATCGGACTATTTAAAAGAGTTTTCTTCAAAAAAAAAAGAGGCAGGGGAAGAGCAGAGAGGAGTTAGTTGCTTAAAGGACCGGAAGGGACATGGCGCTATGAACAACTGATGTGATACAGCTAAAGAATGTCTTACCCTTGCTAGGAAACAGTCAGCAGGTAGTGGATGTAGTAAAAAATGGCAGGGCACCATCTCTGAGAACAAACCAAGTCTAGCTCATCTTTCTTTCTTGCTTGCTTGCTTGCTTGCTTGCTTGCTTGCTTGCTTTCCTTTCTTTCCCTTTCTTTCCCTTTCTTTCCCTCTCCTCTCCTCTTCCCTCTCCTCCCCACCCCTCCCCTCCCCTCCCCTCTCCTTTTCTTTTTTCTTTCACGGAATCTCACTCTGTCGCCAGGCTGGAGTGCAGTGGCGCGATCTCAGCTCACTGCAACCTCCACCTCCTGGGTTCAAGCGATTCTCCTGCCTCAGCCTCCCGAGTAGCTGGGATTACAGGTGCCCACCACCACGCCATGCTAATTTTTGTATTTTTAGTACAGACAGGGTTTCACCATGTTGGCCAGATGGTCTCAATCTCTTGACCTTGTGATCCGCCCGCCTTGGCCTCTCAAAGTGCTGGGATTACAGGCGTGAGCCACCGCACCCCACCAAGTCTAGCTCATTTTTCACAATGGTGAAAAACTTTTGGGGTCCCTCTGGTGACTGGTGTTCATGGCAACTGGGAGTTGGCTAGGCTGGGACGCTTGATCATTGGCGGCCTTCACTGAACAGCTGTCTCCGCTGGAGATTTCTTTCCTGGAGGAGGGACCAGGGCTCATAAAGGATGCCTGCCCTCAAGGGTTGTGCTTCCTAACTGAGGAGATTGGCTAGCTCCTCAAAAGTCAAGACAGTGGAGACCTCTGCTGACCCAGTAAGTGCCGGGGTGGGAGTGGGTGTGCCCTAGTGAAGGTGCCCAGGTCAGCTGCCTGGTTGTATTGACAGCAACAGAAAACATATGCCTACCTTCTGCCACAGCAGCATCTCTCCCAGGTATGTACCCCAGAGAAATGAGGGCATGTAGCCACTGTAAGATGTGCACAGGGTATTCGTGGCAGCTGTATCCATAACAGCTGAAATCTGGAAATCTCTCAACTGTCTATCAAGAAGAAGCTGGGTAGATAAATTGCGGCATATTTATATGGTGGAATAATGCTGAATAGCAGTGACAGAGAATAAACTAATTACATGCAAAATACAAATAAACTACATAGCATTATACTGAACAAAATAAGCCAGGCACAAAAGAGTACATTGTGTATGAATCCATTTATATGAAGTTCAAGGACAGGCAAAGCTAATCAATGGGAGGGATGATATTGACTGGGAGAGATCACGAGGGAGCCTCAAGCTAGTTAGTAACATGGGTGTATACGTATGGCAAAATTAACTGAGCTGAACACTTAGGATTAGCACCCTTTAGCCACTTATTGAATATATCATATGCTCCATTTTATTTTATTTTTATTTTATTTATTTATTTTTTGAGCTGGAGTCTCATTCTTTTTTTTTTTTTTTTTTGAGACAGAGTCTCACGCTGTTGCCCAGGCTGGAGTGCAGTGGCGCGATCTCGGCTCACTGCAAGCTCCGCCTCCCAGGTTCCCGCCATTCTCTTGCCTCAGCCTCCTGAGTAGCTGGGACTACAGGCGCCCGCCACCGCGCCCGGCTAATTTTTTTTGTATTTTTAGTAGAGACGGGGTTTCACTGTGGTCTCGATCTCCTGACCTTGTGATCCGCCCGCCTCGGCCTCCCAAAGTGCTGGGATTACAGGCTTGAGCCACCGCGCCCGGCCGAGTCTCATTCTTTTTCCCAGGCTGGAGTGCAATGGCGTGATCTTGCCTCACGCCTATAATCCCAGCACTTTGGGAGGCCAAGGTGGATGAGTTGCTTGAGCCCAGGAGTTCGAGACCAGCCTGGGCAATGTAGGAAAACCCCATCTCTACAAAACATAAAAAAATTAGCCAGGTGTGGTGGCGCACACCTGTGGTCTCAGCTAGTTGGGAGGTTGAGGCGGGTGGATCACCTGAACCCAGGAGGTTGAGGTCACAGTGAACTGTGATTGTGCCACTGCACTCCGGCCTGGGCAACAGAGCAAGACCCTGTCTCACAAAAAACCCAAAACACAAATAACCCTAGTAGGAAACAAAGAACAGCAGCAGAGGCAGTGCCATTTCAGAATTCCTCCATCTCTTTTCAGGGAGGGATACAAGACCTTCTTCAACACACTCTACCATAACAACATTCCTCTTTTCATCTTTTCTGCGGGCATTGGTGATATCCTGGAAGAAATTATCCGACAGATGAAAGTTTTCCACCCCAACATCCACATCGTGTCTAACTACATGGATTTTAATGAAGATGTGAGCCAAATCTTGTTTGGGCTGGGAAAGGACGAAGGGTGGGGACCACCAGCCAGGGCGGTTAACTCTGCATGAACCCTAACCTGGGGAAGAAGGGGAGGTAAGCCACACTGGCTTCTTCGCCCTCTTGCAGTTGTTTATGGGTTACTTTTCGGCCAGGCGCTGTGGCTCAGACCTGTATTCCCAGCACTTTGGGAGGCTGAGGCAGGCAGATCACTTGAGGTCAGGAGTTCGAGACCAGCCTGGCCAACATGGTGAAACTCCGTTTCTACTAAAAATACAAAAATAGGCCGGGCGCGGTGGCTCAAGCCTGTAATCCTAGCACTTTGGGAGGCCGAGACGGGCGGATCACGAGGTCAGGAGATCGAGACCATCCTGGCTAACATGGTGAAACCCCGTCTCTACTAAAAAATACAAAAAACTAGCCGGGCGAGGTGGCGGGCGCCTGTAGTCCCAGCTACTCGGGAGGCTGAGGCAGGAGAATGGCATAAACCCAGGAGGCGGAGCTTGCAGTGAGCTGAGATCCGGCCACTGCACTCCAGCCTGGGCCACAAAGCGAGACTCCGTCTCAAAAACAAACAAACAAAAAAAAAAAACAAAAATAAGCCGGGCATGGAGGTGTGCAGCTGTAATCCCAGCTACTTGGGAGGCTGAGGCAGGAGAATTGCCTGAACCCAGGAGGCAGAGGTTGCAGTGAGCCAAGATCGTACCACTGCACTCCAGCCTGGGCAACAGAGCAAGACTGTGTTCAGAAAAAAACAAAAACAAAAAAACTTTCAAAGGATCCTCTCTCTTTGGTGTTTGCCTGACAGTCAACTCTCTGCCCTGGGGTACCTAATTTATGGGCCTGCCCTGCCCCATGTCACTGTCATGTGTTATGTGCCATCCTGGGTCCTGAAGGGCGTGGGCTTTGATTTGTTTTTCCCAAGCCGGAGGTGGGCTGCTCCAGCTCATCCACGTTCTGACTCTTTTCCCCATAAAACTGATGGTTGGAATTTTCATCACGTTGACCTGCAGGGAAGAGGTGGCCCGCAGCTGAGCATTAGCACACGTGTAACCTGAGCGGCATTTATATCACAGCTTCGTGCATCCACCAGAACAGATGATCTGCGATATTGGGTGGCTCCTGTTCATTTAAACTAGGAGTTACCCCTGTCGTCAATATTTAGGCTTTGTGGGCCGTGGCATCACTGTTGCAACTGCCCAACTTTGCCTTTATAGCACAAAAAAGCAGCCATAGGCATCATGTAAACAAAGGAGTTTGGCTGTATCCCAATACAGCTTTATTTACAAAAGCAGGCCAAGTCTGGCCCAGGGGCCCTAGTTTAGGCTACAGTGAAGTTTTGGCATTATCTATCACTTTTGGGATTCCCTTTTCTGTGACAGAGACAGTGGAGAGCTGATGCCACATGGGTCCCTGCGGCCCTTCCATCTGTCTCTTGTCTTCGTTATTTAGGGTTTTCTCCAGGGATTTAAGGGCCAGCTCATACACACATACAACAAGAACAGCTCCGTGTGTGAGAACTCTGGTTACTTCCAGCAACTTGAGGGCAAAACCAATGTCATCCTGCTGGGAGACTCCATCGGGGACCTCACCATGGCCGATGGGGTTCCTGGTGTGCAGAACATTCTCAAGATTGGCTTCCTGAATGACAAGGTGGGTAGAGGACCAGGGCTGCTTCTCTTCATGGCTTTCTTCTCTTTGAATGCCCATTAACAAATGCCTTTGAACACTTTGAATTCATTTTTTTTTTTTTTTTTTTTTTTTTGAGACGGAGTCTCGCTCTGTCACCCAGGCTGGAGTGCAGTGGCCGGATCTCAGCTCACTGCAAGCTCCGCCTCCCGGGTTCACACCATTCTCCTGCCTCAGCCTCCCGAGTAGCTGGGACTACAGGCGCCTGCCACCTCGCCCGGCAAAGTTTTTGTATTTTTAGTAGAGACGGAGTTTCACTGTGTTAGCCAGGATGGTCTCGATCTCCTGACCTCGTGATCCGCCCGTCTCGGCCTCCCAAAGTGCTGGGATTACAGGCTTGAGCCACCGCGCCCGGCCTATTTTATTTTATTTTATTTTATTTTATTTTATTTTATTTTATTTTTGAGACAGAGTCTCGCTCTGTCACCCAGGCTAGAGTGCAGTGGCGTAATCTTGGCTTACTGCAACTTCCACCTCCCAGGTTCAAGTGATTCTTCTGCCTCAGCCTCCTGAGTAGCTGAGACTATAGGTGCGCGCCACCATGCCTGGCTCATTTTTGTATTTTTACTAGAGATGGGATTTCACCATGTTGGCCATGGCTGGTCTTGAACTCCTGACCTCAAGTGATTCGCCCACCTTCACCTCCCAAAGTGCTGGGATTACATGCGTGAGCCACTGCCCCCAGCCACCTTTGAACACCTTCTATATGCTAGACACTAGGTAAAATATTATGGTCACAGAAGGAAGCTGTATTCTCTTGCAGCGCATAATCTCGTAGGAAACAGAAACCCAGTGATTACAGCTTTGTCTTACCACATGACCTTACAGGCGTTCAGAGAGAGGATCAGGCCGGGCATGGGATCCTAGCCTCAGTTTACTGATTGTGCACTGCACTGTCACTCCTCTCAGCATTTCATGGATATTAATTCATTTGATTTTTATAACCCCTTAAGGTAGTGACTGTTATCCTCATTTTACAGATGAGGAAACTGAAGCCTGGGGTTAAGTAACTTGCCTAAGATGATAGAGTTCAGGAAACAGTGGGGCTGATTACCAGTCCTCCTACATCCTACTGGAAGGCATGATTGAGATGGGAGATGTTGGTATTGAGGACATGGGTTTATTTTTTATTTTTTATTTTTTTTTGAGACAGAGTCTCGCTCTGTCACCCAAGCTGGAGTGCAGTGACGAAATCTTGGTTCACTGCAACCTCCGCCTCCTGCGTTCAAGCGATTCTCCTGCCTCAGCCTCCCGAGTAGCTGGGATTACAGGTGCCTGCCACCATGCCCAACTTAATTTTTGTGTTTTTAGTATAGACAGGGTTTCAGCATGTTGGCCACACTGGTCTTGAACTCCTGACCTCAGATGATCCACCTGCCTCGGCCTCCCAAAGTGCTGGGATTACAGGTGTGAGCCACTGCGCCTAGCCGAGGACATGGTTTTATAATTTAGAGAAGAAAAGTAACAAGAACAGATCGGGGACTGACGGGGGTAAAAGTAGCATTGTCATAAAGGGGCTGAAATACGGGGTAAAGCCAGGCAGCTGCCAGGGTGCCTCCCCGCAGCCTGCAGGCGCCGGAGCCCACCAGAATACTCAGGCCGGATGAAACTGGGTCCTGTTGGGCGTGGTGGCTCATGCCTGTAATCCCAGCACTTTGGGAGGCCGAGGCAGGCAGATCATGAGGTCAGGAGTTCGAGACCAGCCTGACCAACATGGAGAAACCCCGTCTCTACTAAAAGTACACAATTAACCGGGTGTGGTGGTGCACGCCTGTAATCCCAACTACTCAGGAGCCCGAGGCAGGAGAATCGCTGGAACCCAGAGGTGGAGGTTGCAGTGAGCTGAGATGGCGCCGCTGCACTCCAGCTTTGGTGACAGAGCGAGACTCCGTCTCAAAAAAACTAACAAAAAAACTGGGTCCTGGTCGGGTACAGTGGCTCATGCCTGTAACCCCCCCCCCCCAATTTTGGGAGGCCAAGGCAGGGGGATCATTTGAGGCCAGAGTTCGACACCAGCCTGGGCAACATAATGAGACCCTGTCTCAACAACAACACAAATTAGCTGGTGTGGTGAGCATGCCTGTAGTTCTAGCTGCGCAGGAGGCTGAGGCAGGAAGATCACTTGAGTCCCAGAGGTCAAAGCTGCAGTGAGCCAAGGTTATGCCACTGCACTTCAGCCTGTGCAGCAGAGTCAGACCCTATCTCAAAAAGAAAGAAAGAAAGAAATTCAATCCAGATGGATTAGAGGTAACATCTGTTTTTTTTGTTTGTTTGTTTTTTTGAGACAAGGCCTCACTCTGTCACCTAGACTGGAGTGTCGTGGCTCAGTCTTGGCTCACTGTAGCCTTAATTTCCTGGGCTCAAGTGATCCTCCTGCCTCAGCCTCCCAAGTAGCTGGGACTACAGGCACCCACCCCCATGCCCGGCCAATTTTTGTAGAGATGGGGTTTTGCCATGTCGCCTGGGCCGGTCTCAAACTCTTGGGCTCAGATGATCCTTCTACCTCAGCCTCCCAAAGTGGCAACATCTGTTTTTTTGTTTTTATTCCTTGTTACTATCCTTTGGTATTGACCCAAGGGTTCATTGTGATAGCCCATGCCCATCCCTCATCTGTCTCCAAAGGGTAGTTCCGGTAACCTTGAACTCCTCTGGCTCTCAAAAGGGAGCTGGGAGTTGCTGCTTGAATGCTCTCCTCCCCAGCCCCAGGGGCTTTGAGAGTGAGCTACGGAGGGTGGGGCATCTGGGGACCCTCAGGCTTCTTATTCTCACTCCGGGCAGGTGGAAGAGCGGCGGGAGCGCTACATGGACTCCTATGACATCGTGCTGGAGAAGGACGAGACTCTGGATGTGGTCAATGGGCTGCTGCAGCACATCCTGTGCCAGGGGGACCAGCTGGAGATGCAAGGCCCCTGAGGGCACAGGCTTCAGCCCGACCTGCAGGCCGTGGTGAGGAGTCCGCTCCCCCATGGACACAGAGCAGAGGCCAGGGTGGCCAGCAACGGCTGGGTCCTTCCATACCCCTCCGTCCTCCTTTCTCTGAGCACCTTCATCACCAGAGGCTTGAAGGAGCCCCGCCATGTGGCAGGGTACAAGCACTGGTCCTGGTGAACCTTGGACCACAGCATGTCAGTGCTCTAGGGATTGTCTATTCCAGGGATTTTTTTCAACACTTTTAAAAATGGGAAGTTGTTCTTCAAACAAATATAATGTGCGAAACAGATCAAAATTTTTAAAATGAAAAAAACAGCTGTTCTGATTCAGGGGATGTGGGTGCGGGTAGAACCTGGACCTCTTGGCCCTGGGGGCACAAGTGATGCTTCTAGGAACACAGTTTGGGAACCACCACAAATTGGCCTGGGACCCCGTCCGAGCACAGCCTGATTGTGTCTGGTTCAGGGTGGGGTTGAAAGGGTATTTTCTAGCCTACAGTGGTTTGACTTTATTCTGATTCAGCCATCAAACTTGAAATTCATTTGGGATCGGTGGGGTTGAGGCAACCCTGTCTGAGAGCCCCCTTTTTGGGGATCCCTGAGGGGATGCATTCGGGTGTGGATGTCCCCCTATGCCCTAGGCTCTCCTTTCACCTCTTCTGGGTCGGGGCCACCAAAGTGGATGACCTGAAAAGGGGAATTTAGAGCAGGGACCTGAGGGTCCCAAGGTGAAAGAAGTGATGTGTGCACTGTGGTCTTGCATTCTTGGGCTGACCCTGAAGAGCCAGTTCAGCATTGTCTTAGCTTTAGAGGAAATCACCGGCACCTTTCCTGCAGTGTTTGACTAGCCGTTGGAAAGTTCTGTTATTCTGCAGATGTGAACCGGGAGGTAATACAGATGTTACTGAAGGCCTGCGGTGTGCCAGGTGCCGCTCTGGGCATTTGGGTGTCTGCCAGTTGACCCTCACAATGACCCCACAAGTAGGTGCAGCTCCTCCTGCTTCCAGATGGCTCGGGCAGGATGAGTAACTTGCCCAAACTCCATAGCTAGGAGCTGGAACCAGGATTTGAATGTTCCTGACCAAAGCCCATGCCTTTGGCTGCATTTCTCTGCTTCAGGCCTGTTCCATTTGGTTTTGGGAGGAGGGAGTGGTCACCATCTGAGACTGGGTCAGTAACCACTTCCAGACTTTAATCAAGAAGCTTTCTTGGCCAGCGCAGTGGCTCACACCCGTAATCCCAGCACTCTGGGAGGCCAGGGTGGCGGATCACGTGCCGTCAGGAGTTTGAGACCAGCCTGGCCAACATGGTAAGACCGTCTCTACTAAAAATACAAAAATAAGCCGGGCGTGGTGGCGCATGCCTGTAATCCCAGCTACTCAGGTGGCTGAAGCAGGGGAATCACTTGAACCCAGGAGGCGGAGGTTGCAGTGAGCTGAGATCATACCACTGCACCCCACCCTGGGTGACAGAGTGAGACCCTGTCTCGAAAAAAAACACTTCGATCAAGGAGCTTTCTGGATGCTTTGGGACCAGAGAATGTCAGTCACTGCCCATGGGGAGCAGTCATGTCTCTTAGGGGACCCTGGGCAAGAAGTGCCGATGGAGGCAGTTTGCTGTGTGAGTCCAGTCCTGTCATTTTCTCTCCTAAGTCCCCACCCTGTCCCCCGAATGCTTGGCGAGGACAGATGGCCTGGTTGGCGGCTGAAGTCCTCTTGCAAGACGCTGTGGAGATCTGAACTCGGTTACCTTTCCCCGAGCAAGAGGGTGGACAGGTGGTAACAGGTGGTGGCCAGGAGCAGGGAGAGATGGGAATATCATAGTATTGGAAATGATCTATGGAAAAGGATAATCTGACTTGCGCGGTTTAATTTAATTCTTGCTTTGTAGGTTGTGTTTGAGGTCAGGGACCTTGTCTTTCCCATTCAATTGGGACAATTGGAGGATGAGGATCGTCTCTCCACGCCCTGCTGGAGGCCTCCCCGCTCTACACATTCACCCCCTCCACAGACCAGGCCTCCCTTCCTGCAGTGAAGCCCCCAGGTTAGGCCCAGGGCAGGCAGGAAACCTCCAGATGGGGAGCCCCCGATGTGGGGACACGCCGCTGTCTGGAACTAATGAGGCCATGGAAACAGCCTGGTTTAACTTTTTCCCCAATCTCTGGGTCTAAAGGCCTCCCACAACCCCCGCTTAACCCACTAGCCACTCCCCTCTGCTCCTCAACCTGTTCCAAAAGACACCCTAAGGCCATTGGTTTAATCTTTTATTTGGAACAAAGGAAAAAAGGACTGACACCAGTTTAGCCTTTTGAGTGTGCAGAGCTCTGCCCTCCCTCCCAGCCCTCAGCCCCAAATCCAAGATTTCATAACCCTAACACCCACCCAAGCAGGTTCCCTCACACATGCCCTCTGTTTTCTTCTTCTATGGTTCCTTAGGGAAAGGAGCCTTCTTTAGGGATGAAAAGCTAACTACAGCCCAGTCCTGGCCTCCAGCAGCCCAGGGTCAGCTCAGCCTCCACTGGAGGCGAGGGAGGAGGGCAAAGGGATGGGAGAGGTAGGGCTGCCCTCCAGGAGCTGTCCCCTTCCCTAGGAGCCAGTCAGGAATGGGGAGGAAGATGGAGGGGTCCTAGGGAGCTGTCACATAGAGGAATAGGGGCTGGGAGTGGGGATAACAAGAAGTACAAACAAAGAGAAAGTTGGGGAGAGGGATAACAAGCTCAGCTGTGCCTGTGATGTGAAGGGGTGGTATGGTGGGGGACCAGCCATGGCCCTATCCAACCCCAGGCTCCACCAGCCCCAAATTGGCTTTGCAAATCCAAACATTTTAAAGAAGGGGTTTGGGGATGGAAGAGAAATGGGGTAGAGGTCTGTGCTGTGGATTTTCACCTAGGGTGGTGGGAACACCAGAGATGTCGCCTCTGCCATCGTTTTAGTTGGCTCCCGGACCTCATCCCAGCAGAGGGAGGGTGACTGTCAGCAGGTCAGTCCCACCACCACTGTCCCCCTCGCAGTGGGCCTCTGTGTCTCAGGCCCGGCCAGGCTCCCTGCCCCTCAGAGCTCCTCGTGGACCCGCTCCTGGTCCTCATCTGACTTCAGCTTGAGCTCCTCTACTGTGATCTTGCCGTCCTGGTTGCGGTCCTGGTTCTGGAACATGTCTCCTATGGTTTTCTCGGGGTCCTGCCCAGGCATGAGGCGTCCTTTGCCCTCACTCACTTGAGCCTTGATGAAGGTGGAGAACTGGGGGAGGGGAGAGCCGGGGGAGTGGGCAGTGAGGGTCATGGCCTTGGGAGGGGCCCCAGGTGGAGGTCAGTGAGTGCTTTCTTTTTCTTATTTTTTCCCAGGCTCCCCCACACCCTGTAACTCAGGAAGGGCTGGGAAAGGCACTGGTGCTGGGGTCCTGGTGGGGGCCGGGGTGGAGGCGTGGCATGGGGGATAGTCTGTGACTGGTCTCAGGTAGGGAACAGCCTGCATGTGTGCCCAGGAAACGGCAGAGATGAGGAGCCTGAGGCACGGGACTCAGCACAGGCAGGAGCACGAGGGCAGGTGGGCAGTCCGGACGGGGACATCTTCCTCGACGCTTCTTGAGTGCGGGGAGTGCGTGGGCATGGTTATTAAGACTGAACCTTCACTCACCTCCTCTGGAGGGACCTCTCCATCCTTGTTGAGGTCCATGTCTTCAAACAGGTTGGCAGGAGGGTCCTCGTGCCACACAAACAGGTAGCCTGTGGGCAGCCCATCCTCCCGGGACACCAGCTCCACCTCAAACAGCAGCACAGCACTGCCTGGGACTCCCCGGGCTGGAGGGAGGGCAGGAGAGAAGGGAGGGGTCCTAGTCAGGCCAGGGTCTGGGCCTGGCTTCACTGTTTCCCAGCCCACAGGCCACAGTTTCCCCTCCTGGGGCTAGGCTGGAGAGTGGGGCATGGGATGTTTAAGGAGCCATCCTGAAAGCATTCCTGACTCCTCCCACCAGCCCTCAGGCCCACAATGGGCAGGAGCAAAAGGGACGGATGCCAGTTAGATTACGGATGCCAGTTAGATTACGGTTTCGGGCTGGGCGCAGTGGTTCACGATTGTAATCCCAGCACTTTGGGAGGCCAAGGCGGGTGGATCACCTGAGGTCAGGAGTTCAAGACCAGCCTGACCAATATGGCAAAACCCCATCCCTACTAAAAATACAAAAATTAGCTGCGCATAGTGGCGGGCGCCTGTAATCCCAGCTACTAGGGAGGCTGAGGCAGGAGAATCGCTTGAATCTGGGAAGCAGAGGTTGCAGTGAGCTGAGATCACGCCACTGCACTCCAGCCTGGGTGACAGAGTGAGACTCCATCTCAAAAAAAAACAAGATTACGGTCTCAGCCCCTCACCTCCACTCTCCCCGTGGGCCAGGTGCGGGGGCACGATGAGCTGCCGCCTCTCTCCCACACACATGCCCTGCAGGCCCGTGTCCAGGCCTTCGATCACCTTGTTGGCCCCCAGAGTCGCCTCCTGGGGAGCCCCGTAGTCATGCCTGGAGGAGAGCAGATGCCCAGGTCAGCAGCCAACCTGTCCCCTGCCAGCGCACACCCCCCTGTCTCTGACGTGGGCCCAGAACAAGCCCTCAGTTCTGGAGTGACTCCCACTGGTGACTTGGGCCATGCAGCAGAGTGCAGGGGCCCAGCGGTGCAGATGTGGGGTTCCCTTCTCATCTTGCCTCTGCCCCCTAAAGTGTGGCCTCGAGGGCTCATGGCTCCCTGCATCAATTTCCCCTCTGTGAAACGGAAAGAGCAGTTCTCCCGCAGTGGTTGGCTTCACCTTCCCTTCCCCGGCGACGCAGAGAATTTCATCTCCTCATGGCTCCCCAGCATGCTCTGAGATGGGGACTTACAGAAGCAGCAAGAGGCTGAATGCTCCCCTGGCGCTCGAGGACCAAGAGGGAGGAGCAGGCATCGGGGTACGGTGAGGAGGACTCCCCATGCCTGTGCCCACCCACCTGCCCAGTCCCGGCCCCACCCGGGACCCACGAGGTGAAGAGCTGGGTGCCGTCCAGCAAAGAACAGTTGTAATGGTATCGAACAAAGTCCCCAAGCTTGGTGGTCTCATTGCAGGTCTCCGATGGCCGAGACAGTGTCCGGATTTCCACCACATCCGCAGGGTTGTGGAAGTCAATGACATGAACATTGAAGATTAGCACGGCTGAGCCAGGGATCTTGTCTCCTGAGGACAGAATGGGGTAGTGTGGTCAGCTCAGAGCACTAGCAGAGGCTCCTCAAGGTCTCTCCATGGAGGCCCCTGGACCTGACACCCCTTCCGGACCCTGAGGATCCAAAGGAGGATGG